CAACTCGTAAGCCCAGACCAACTGGAAGACGTGAGTTCAGTTCATTGCTTCTAATTGTCGTTCATTGTTATTATATGCACAAACCGATATCATAGTAGCACCTCTCTTGATTCAGTACTGTCACATTATCAGTTGTGTCAAGGAATTCACTTTCGTCCCTTAGAAACAACATATCGTCTCGATACCAACTATTCTCATTAATCATATTTCGATATTTTGATCAGGTTTATCATGATTACTTCCATCATATTCTTTGCATAGAGTTTCTTGCATTATTTCACTGGTGTTATCCACCATCAAATTTCTGTGTTTATTTTGCACTGAATCTCGTTTGTATTTCGGGGTTGAGAATTTGTAGCAGTGTTCCACACGACAATCTCGTGTATCTCAATACGCGAACACGCACAGTTGATTTGTTTAGCCAACTCAATTGTTTGAAATACCCTGTGTGTAATGCATGAAAGGTAGTGACGTAAACCAGATTGAAAACATGTGTCTAAACACACACACAGATCACATTCTGATTAGCATCACATTATCTCATGCAAAACATGTCGCTGAGCGTCATTCGCGCAAATTTCAGATATCATTCCGCCAATGATTGAAGCTGAGAATCACTCTTCACTAGAAAGTCCTCTAAGCGAATCTGTGAGACTGTGTCATTCAGCAATTACATTTTACCCCACTGTCAATATCCTAACTAGTTGCACTTTACTCCACTTCAATTACAGCTCATCCGACCGGCCGTGGAAACAGACCAGAGAGAAGACGTGAGTAGATTTTTTAAACCAGTTATTCATATGGCTCATCAGTTCATGCGAAATCCCGTTATTCAATTGTCTCACAAATGAACAAAAGCATTCATCACACGATTACCTGATTTGCAATCGATTTACATTCCGTCTCAGCCGAACATTGACTGCTTCGACACACTGACAGTTTTGTTTTCCCTTATGATGCGGAATTCTAAACAACTCAACACCTCCCTTTCATGTTCAGCATGTTCGTTGTTCACGTTGAATGCTGCCGCACATGCGATGTATAAGCGCCAACCAGATATTGAGACACCTGTATGCACTTCGATCCACTGCATTTCTCCCTTGTTCTGAGATCGCTTCACTCTCAAGTATCTCTCAATCGATTTTGTGTGAGCGACGATCGAGTGTGAAATCAAAAGCACGAATCATTCAAAACTCCCAACATCGGCTAAACTATCGTTGTTGTGTAGCATAGCTGTGTTTCACAGTCACTTTTGTCATACTTTTCACTGACTTTACAGAGTGGATCGCCACCGGAACCGACACCAAGGCATTAGGTCCCTGAATCATGGATGCTATTGTGAATCATGCAGCCTCCATGTTTGCATCGCACTTGACGACCTCACAAAGTGATTAGTTCATCGTCGAGCAAATATATTCAATTCTGGATATGATTGTTGTCTGACTCGTGTGGACGGTTTAAGGTCACTAGAATTGTCAGCAGTCCATCCACTTGATCACACAGTCCAACTGTCGTTTCATTCTAATGTTTCAATAAGTCTTCGCTTGATATTGTTTGTCCTGTGACTAAATCCCAACACTTGTTCCTCAGATACTAATTCTTAACCTGAATTCTGCTTTGAGTGTCGACTCACTACAAGGTATATTTCGCATAATTTTCAGGGTATCCTACAACTCGTAAGCCCAGACCAACTGGAAGACGTGAGTTCAGTTCATTGCTTCTAATTGTCGTTCATTGTTATTATATGCACAAACCGATATCATAGTAGCACCTCTCTTGATTCAGTACTGTCACATTATCAGTTGTGTCAAGGAATTCACTTTCGTCCCTTAGAAACAACATATCGTCTCGATACCAACTATTCTCATTAATCATATTTCGATATTTTGATCAGGTTTATCATGATTACTTCCATCATATTCTTTGCATAGAGTTTCTTGCATTATTTCACTGGTGTTATCCACCATCAAATTTCTGTGTTTATTTTGCACTGAATCTCGTTTGTATTTCGGGGTTGAGAATTTGTAGCAGTGTTCCACACGACAATCTCGTGTATCTCAATACGCGAACACGCACAGTTGATTTGTTTAGCCAACTCAATTGTTTGAAATACCCTGTGTGTAATGCATGAAAGGTAGTGACGTAAACCAGATTGAAAACATGTGTCTAAACACACACACAGATCACATTCTGATTAGCATCACATTATCTCATGCAAAACATGTCGCTGAGCGTCATTCGCGCAAATTTCAGATATCATTCCGCCAATGATTGAAGCTGAGAATCACTCTTCACTAGAAAGTCCTCTAAGCGAATCTGTGAGACTGTGTCATTCAGCAATTACATTTTACCCCACTGTCAATATCCTAACTAGTTGCACTTTACTCCACTTCAATTACAGCTCATCCGACCGGCCGTGGAAACAGACCAGAGAGAAGACGTGAGTAGATTTTTTAAACCAGTTATTCATATGGCTCATCAGTTCATGCGAATTCCCGTTATTCAATTGTCTCACAAATGAACAAAAGCATTCATCACACGATTACCTGATTTGCAATCGATTTACATTCCGTCTCAGCCGAACATTGACTGATTCGACACACTGACAGTTTTGTTTTCCCTTATGATGCGGAATTCTAAACAACTCAACACCTCCCTTTCATGTTCAGCATGTTCGTTGTTCACGTTGAATGCTGCCGCACATGCGATGTATAAGCGCCAACCAGATATTGAGACACCTGTATGCACTTCGATCCACTGCATTTCTCCCTTGTTCTGAGATCGCTTCACTCTCAAGTATCTCTCAATCGATTTTGTGTGAGCGACGATCGAGTGTGAAATCAAAAGCACGAATCATTCAAAACTCCCAACATCGGCTAAACTATCGTTGTTGTGTAGCATAGCTGTGTTTCACAGTCACTTTTGTCATACTTTTCACTGACTTTACAGAGTGGATCGCCACCGGAACCGACACCAAGGCATTAGGTCCCTGAATCATGGATGCTATTGTGAATCATGCAGCCTCCATGTTTGCATCGCACTTGACGACCTCACAAAGTGATTAGTTCATCGTCGAGCAAATATATTCCATTCTGGATATGATTGTTGTCTGACTCGTGTGGACGGTTTAAGGTCACTAGAATTGTCAGCAGTCCATCCACTTGATCACACAGTCCAACTGTCGTTTCATTCTAATGTTGCAATAAGTCTTCGCTTGATATTGTTTGTCCTGTGACTAAATCCCAACACTTGTTCCTCAGATACTAATTCTTAACCTGAATTCTGCTTTGAGTGTCGACTCACTACAAGGTATATTTCGCATAATTTTCAGGGTATCCTACAACTCGTAAGCCCAGACCAACTGGAAGACGTGAGTTCAGTTCATTGCTTCTAATTGTCGTTCATTGTTAATCTATGCACAAACCGATATCATAGTAGCACCTCTCTTGATTCAGTACTGTCGCATTGTCAATTGTGTGGAGCGAAACACTTTCGTCCTTTAGAAACAACATATCGTCTCGATACCAACCATTCTCATAAATCATATTTCGATATTTCGATCAGGTTTATCACGATTACTGCCATCATATGTTTGCATGGAATTTCTTGCATTATTTAACTGGTGTTTTCCACCATCAAATTTCTGTGTTTAAGTTTGCACTGAATCTCGTTTGTATTTCGGGGTTGAGAATTTGTAGCAGTGTTCCACACGACAATCTCGTGTATCTCAATACGCGAACACGCACAGTTGATTTGTTTAGCCAACTCAATTGTTTGAAATACCCTGTGTGTAATGCATGAAAGGTAGTGACGTAAACCAGAGTGAAAACATGTGTCTAAACACGCACACAAATCACATTGTGATTAGCATCACATTTTCTCATGCAAAACAAGTCGGTGAGCGTCATTCGCGCAAATTTCAGATATCATTTCGCCAATGATTGAAGCTGAGAATCACTCTTCACTAGAAAGTCCTGTAAGCGAATCTGTGAGACTGTGTCATTCAGCAATTACATTTCGCCCACTGTCAATATCCTAACTAGTTGCACTTTACTCCACTTCAATTACAGCTCATCCGACCGGCCGTGGAAACAGACCAGAGAGAAGACGTGAGTAGATTTTTCAAACCAGTTATTCATATGGCTCATCAGTTCATGCGAAATCCCGTTATTCAATTGTCTCACAAATGAACAAAAGCATTCATCACACGATTACCTGATTTGCAATCGATTTACATTCCGTCTCAGCCGAACATTGACTGCTTCGACACACTGACAGTTTTGTTTTCCCTTATGATGCGGAATTCTAAACAACTCAACACCTCCCTTTCATGTTCAGCATGTTCGTTGTTCACGTTGAATGCTGCCGCACATGCGATGTATAAGCGCCAACCAGATATTGAGACACCTGTATGCACTTCGATCCACTGCATTTCTCCCTTGTTCTGAGATCGCTTCACTCTCAAGTATCTCTCAATCGATTTTGTGTGAGCGACGATCGAGTGTGAAATCAAAAGCACGAATCATTCAAAACTCCCAACATCGGCTAAACTATCGTTGTTGTGTAGCATAGCTGTGTTTCACAGTCACTTTTGTCATACTTTTCACTGACTTTACAGAGTGGATCGCCACCGGAACCGACACCAAGGCATTAGGTCCCTGAATCATGGATGCTATTGTGAATCATGCAGCCTCCATGTTTGCATCGCACTTGACGACCTCACAAAGTGATTAGTTCATCGTCGAGCAAATATATTCAATTCTGTGTATGATTGTTGTTCGACTCATGTGGACGGGATAAGCTCACTTGAATTGCCAGCAGTCCATCCACTTGATCACACAGTCCAACTGTCGTTTCCTTCTAATGTTGCAATAAGTGTTCGCTTGATATTGTTCGTCCTGTGACTAACTCCCAACACCTGTTCCTCAGATACTAATTCTTAACCTGAATCCTGCTTTGAGTGTCGATTCACTACAACGTTTATTTCGTATGATTTTCAGGTTATCCTACAACTCGTAAGCCCAGACCAACTGGAAGACGTGAGTTCATTTCATTGCTTCCAATTGTCGTTCATTGTTAATCTATGCACAAACCGATATCATAATAGCACCTCTCTTGATTCAGTATTGTCGCATTGTCAATTGTGTGGAGCGAAACACTTTCGTCCTTTAGAAACAACATATCGTCTCGATACCAACCATTTTCATAAATCATATTTCGATATTTCGATCAGGTTTATCACGATTACTGCCATCATATGTTTGCATGGAATTTCTTGCGTTATTTAACTGGTGTTTTCCACCATCAAATTTCTGTGTTTAAGTTTGCACTGAATCTCGTTTGTATTTCGGGGTTGAGAATTTGTAGCAGTGTTCCACACGACAATCTCGTGTATCTCAATACGCGAACACGCACAGTTGATTTGTTTAGCCAACTCAATTGTTTGAAATACCCTGTGTGTAATGCATGAAAGGTAGTGACGTAAACCAGAGTGAAAACATGTGTCTAAACACGCACACAGATCACATTCTGATTAGCATCACATCACCTCATACAAAACAAGTCGGTGAACGTCATTCGCACAAATTTGAGATGTCGTTCCGTCAATGATTCAAGCTGAGAATCACTCTTGACTAGGAAGTCCTCTAAGCGAATCTGTGAGATCGCGTCATTCAACAATTACATTTCCCCCCACTGTCAATATCCTAACTAGTTGCACTTTACTCCACTCCACTTACAGCTCATCCGACTGGCCGTGGAAACAGACCAGAGAAAAAACGTGAGTAGATTTTTTAAACCAGTTATTCATATGGCTCATCAGTTCATGCGAATTCCCGTTATTCAATTGTCTCACAAATGAACAAAAGCTTTCATCACATGATTACTTGATTTGCAATAGATTTACATTCCATTTCAGCCGAATATTGACTGCTTCGACACACTAACAGTTTTGCTTTTCCTTGTGATGTGGAATTCTTAACAACTCAACACCTCCCTTTCATGTGCAGCATGTTCGTTGTTCACGTTGAACGCTGCCGCACATGCGATGTATAAGCGCCAACCAGATATTGAGACACCTGTATACACTTCGATCCACTGCATTTCTCCCTTGTTCTGAGATCGCTTCACTCTCAAATATCACTCAATGAATTTTGTGTGAGCGACGATCGAGTGTGAAATCAAAAGTCCGAATCATTCGAAGCTCCCAACATCGGCTAAACTATCGTTGTTGTGTAGCATAGCTGTGTTTCACAGTCACGTTCGTCATACTTTTCGCTGACTTCACAGAATGGATCACCACCGCAACCGACGTCACCGTATAGGTTCTTGAATGATCGATGTTATTGTGATTCATGCAGCCTCCATGTTTGCATCACACTTGACGACTTCACAAAGTGATTAGTTCATCGTCGAGCAAATATGTCTAATTCTGTGTATGATTGTTGTTCGACTCATGTGGACGGGATAAGCTCACTTGAATTGCCAGCAGTCCATCCACTTGATCACACAGTCCAACTGTCGTTTCCTTCTAATGTTGCAATAAGTGTTCGCTTGATATTGTTCGTCCTGTGACTAACTCCCAACACCTGTTCCTCAGACACTAATTGCTTATCTGATTTCCGCTTGCTGTTTTCGTTTTTTCGGAGATTTTTAGGTCGAATGTTACTAGACTTCTCATGATTTTTCATTAGCGTTTTCATTTTCCACAGCTGTGTTCCATGTTCTCGTTTTTCTTTGTTTGGTCTTGATTTATTTTTAGTTTTCTTTCTTTATGTGTTTTCCTTTTTATCCGTTAATGCTTATTTTTTTTCTCCTTCCACCTTTCTTTTCTAGTGTTCTATCCCGCAATTTGGCCACGCGGTTCGTTAATTTTTTTCTTAGTTTTTTTGGTTTATTCATATGTGATATTTTTTCCTGTTTAGTTAGTCGTTTCTTCGCGTTTCCGGCTTTTTTTGTTCATTTTTATTCCCTTTCTCTGCGGTATCTGTGTGTTTTTGAAGAAATAATTTTTAACTAATTCTTACTCATTTAGTACTTTATGTTCCCTTGTTGATATTGTTGAGCCATTCTCTGCAGACTGAGTATTGTTTAAACATTATGTTTCAAAGTTTCTTGTAAATACAATAACGAAATAGGTGATGATTAATAATTCAAGCAGGAATGTGTCTCACGTTCATAGAATGAGCTTATTCGTTAAGTCGTTCTGCGGCGCATACTTCATATATAATTTCGTATGATTATTCAACAAAATTAGTTGTTGCAAAGTATAACTCTTATCAAACCCTTTTTTTATTTGAATTGCAGGACCGTTCGATTTCATTCCATATCCAGGTGATTGTTCAATTTTATTTCCACTTTGTATCTCACACATTTTCATTTGATGAGTTCTATCACAACTGTGGTGATTATTTCCAAACTACTGTACTTGTGAGAATGGCGTCTACAAACTTGATCGTGATACTTGTTTTTAGATGACAGAAGACTGACTGAGTTGTCTAATCCGGGGAATGCAGGTTTCTTGCAGATCGATTGAAGTCTCATTGTACATTCGCGCCATTGTATAATCTCTAGGTAAAAGGAATTTTAGCAATTTTAGGAACTAAAACGTTCCTGAATGCAATCGGCATGAATAGAAGGATCTCTCACAGACGCTTGTCTGTTTGCATGATTTTCACGAACATTGCAATACAGAAAGTCCACATAAAATTAAATGGTACCTTGTTTCGCTGATGGTGAACATGCGAGAATTTTTCATCTATTTTAATCGTACCATAAACGGATCAGCTTAAATTGTGTGTTGTCTTCCTAATAGTTGTTTGTAGACCAATGTTAATTTTTGGTCTAATAAACTCAGTTGACGGAAATCGCTTTATCGGCGTGGTATGTTTCGATTTTCGTTGAACTTAAACATTTGTAGGAGCATGAAATTGTGACCATGTATTGTCCAACGTATTGGATAATGAATTAATTTAATTACTTATTGCCACTTTATCAAGTTCATCCAATCTTTGATAACTAGCGCGGAACGAACGTTTATGGCTGTATCATATATTTAATGTATATCTTTTGATCATCATAATTTCTGCCTTTCTTTCATTGTCGCTCTCTTTCAGGACCGTATGGTTTCATTCCATATCCTGGTAACTTTTTAAATTCTTTTTGAATTATCATCAAATATATGTACTTATCTGAATAATGTGATCATAATTGCAGATACATTAGGAATGCCGTTTTTATCAGTACATTGTTGACAAACTTGGTCAAGATGTTCATATTATTCAGTGCTATAGGCTTGAAGAGATTACTCAACTTTATTTCATAAAATACACAGAATTTAGTTCTACATGGGGTGACAATCGAGATTCGTTTGAAACGTTTGTTTGCTTAGTACTCGTATTGTATTCTTCAAATCTCTCATGTTCATAGCCTATCACATTCTGTTATATCTGTCTCAAGCTTGAAACTGTTGAAATGCATCCATCATGTTTAGTCAATGACTGAGAACAGTGATGAATCCTGAACTCAAACAAAATAATTGTCTACTACGGTTAAGATCCCAATCGTCGGCTTCACAATATACTTGTGACATGCAAACTAGAGATGTTAAATCATGGCTAAACAGTGAATGCTTTCAAACGTTGATGATATACTCTGTTCTGTCAGTAGGCGTGCACAAAATAAGATGAATGACGAGAAAATGGCACTTCTTAAGTAACATTATGCATCAATCCACTAAACGTTATATTTCATAAACGGTGACAAACTGAGTTTATTCTAATAATTTTATTTGCAGTTCCATTTGTACCTATATTCGGTTTCTTCAGTCCAGTTTATAACGGTAAGTAATATGATTGCTAGCATGAATGATTATGAAACATAGATTTCATTTACTGTCAAATAATACACTCATTTAAAATTTAAAAAGAATGTACAAAACAAGAATATGATGATTTTTGTCAAGTGATTCATTTCTATTCGACTCCATTCTCTTAAAATATATGCGGACAATACTAACATAAAAATAACCGCGTCACAATGAAAATATACTTAGTAATTAAGAGAAAATAAAAGATCATACACGGTAAAGAAAAATAGAAACAAAAACAAAAATTAGCCAGACATGAATGCACACAGGAGTAAATAATCGTAAAAAAATGAAAATGAAAACCAAGGAAAAAGGAACAACATAGAGAACATGAGAAGGTGAAACAAAACCATCGCCGAAGTAATAAATCTGTAAATAAAAAATTAGAATAAAATGAGAAGAAAAGCGTAAAGAATTGAAGAAAAAATGAGACAAACAACTTACAAGGAATAAATAAGCCGTAAAGTACGAAATCCATTGATAATGAAGTGAAAAGAAACAAGCAGAATAATCACAAAAACACCATAGATAAGAGGGAAGGGATGAAATACACAGCGAATGAAGTGTTTGTTTTAGTTGTCTTTAGATTGACTCATTGTATTCTACTCCACTCCACTCCACTTTCAGATTACCCGAGAAGACGTAAATACAGACCAGAAGGAAGACGTGAGTAGATTTCATTAGACAATTATTCATGTCACTGTTTAATCCGTGCATACACTGATCATTCAGCTGCTTCACAATCAGTCGCCAGCATCCATCGAACACCTACTGACATTCACTCTCTTTTACATTGTGTTTCAAAGAGATATCAATCTGTTCCATATGGAAGTATGTTTGTGATTTCCTCTATCAACTGATTGCTGTTCACTTTGTTGTGGTGAACTGTATGATGCAGATGGATGGATGGATGGATGGATGGATGGATGGATGGATGGATTTGTGGTGTTCCGTAGTATTTGTCGGTCAAATTGTATCTCGCACAATATGCGTTAGTCAATCGAGCTGTGTGTGTGTGTGTGCGTGCGTGTGCGTGTGCGTGTCTGTTGGAAGACTCGATCGCACTACTTGGATAATGTGGATTTCCTGCTCAATGCATATATGTGCATCGACATTTGAACTAATGAACAGCAATTATGAGATTCCAGTGGAATCCGACTAATTATGGAGTGGTCATGTATAAATGATGAATGGAATGGAGGAACCCTTCCATTCCGAACATTTGAATGCCTCGATCTCGCATACGAACTCACATGGTCAATAGGTTCAATGTCGTTTCCGATATACACAATTTCTTGCGATTGCTTCATCAAATCACTGATGATGTTGCTCACATTTAATCGTCCTCATGTCTCTCTCTGCCTTTCAGGATCACGCGATTACAGCCCACGTTCAGGTGATTGTTCAATTTCATTTCCACTTTGTATCACACATATTCATTTGACGAGTGCTATCACAACTGTGGTGATTATTTTCACACTACTGTATTTGTGAGAGTCGCGTCCACTCACTTGATCATGACATCAGTGGCGACAGTAAGAATGATGACATAATCGGTATGGTTGAGAGAGATCGGATGCAATCCACAGTGAATGAAGTGTTTGTTTTAGTTGTCTTTAGATTGACTCATTGTATTCTACTCCACTCCACTCCACTCCACTTTCAGATTACCCGAGAAGACGTAAATACAGACCAGAAGGAAGACGTGAGTAGATTTCATTAGACAATTATTCATGTCACTGTTTAATCCGTGCATACACTGATCATTCAGCTGCTTCACAATCAGTCGCCAGCATCCATCGAACACCTACTGACATTCACTCTCTTTTACATTGTGTTTCAAAGAGATATCAATCTGTTCCATATGGAAGTATGTTTGTGATTTCCTCTATCAACTGATTGCTGTTCACTTTGTTGTGGTGAACTGTATGATGCAGATGGATGGATGGATGGATGGATGGATGGATGGATGGATGGGGATTTGTGGTGTTCCGTAGTATTTGTCGGTCAAATTGTATCTCGCACAATATGCGTTAGTCAATCGAGCTGTGTGTGTGTGTGTGCGTGCGTGTGCGTGTGCGTGTGCGTGTCTGTTGGAAGACTCGATCGCACTACTTGGATAATGTGGATTTCCTGCTCAATGCATATATGTGCATCGACATTTGAACTAATGAACAGCAATTATGAGATTCCAGTGGAATCCGACTAATTATGGAGTGGTCATGTATAAATGATGAATGGAATGGAGGAACCCTTCCATTCCGAACATTTGAATGCCTCGATCTCGCATACGAACTCACATGGTCAATAGGTTCAATGTCGTTTCCGATATACACAATTTCTTGCGATTGCTTCATCAAATCACTGATGATGTTGCTCACATTTAATCGTCCTCATGTCTCTCTCTGCCTTTCAGGATCACGCGATTACAGCCCACGTTCAGGTGATTGTTCAATTTCATTTCCACTTTGTATCACACATATTCATTTGACGAGTGCTATCACAACTGTGGTGATTATTTTCACACTACTGTATTTGTGAGAGTCGCGTCCACTCACTTGATCATGACATCAGTGGCGACAGTAAGAATGATGACATAATCGGTATGGTTGAGAGAGATCGGATGCAATCCACAGTGAATGAAGTGTTTGTTTTAGTTGTCTTTAGATTGACTCATTGTATTCTACTCCACTCCACTCCACTTTCAGATTACCCGAGAAGACGTAAATACAGACCAGAAGGAAGACGTGAGTAGATTTCATTAGACAATTATTCATGTCACTGTTTAATCCGTGCATACACTGATCATTCAGCTGCTTCACAATCAGTCGCCAGCATCCATCGAACACCTACTGACATTCACTCTCTTTTACATTGTGTTTCAAAGAGACATCAATCTGTTCCATATGGAAGTATGTTTGTGATTTCCTCTATCAACTGATTGCTGTTCACTTTGTTGTGGTGAACTGTATGATGCAGATGGATGGATGGATGGATGGATGGATGGATGGATGGATGGTTTTGTGGTGTTCCGTAGTATTTGTCGGTCAAATTGTATCTCGCACAATATGCGTTAGTCAATCGAGCTGTGTGTGTGTGTGCGTGCGTGTGCGTGTGCGTGTGCGTGTGCGTGTCTGTTGGAAGACTCGATCGCACTACTTGGATAATGTGGATTTCCTGCTCAATGCATATATGTGCATCGACATTTGAACTAATGAACAGCAATTATGAGATTCCAGTGGAATCCGACTAATTATGGAGTGGTCATGTATAAATGATGAATGGAATGGAGGAACCCTTCCATTCCGAACATTTGAATGCCTCGATCTCGCATACGAACTCACATGGTCAATAGGTTCAATGTCGTTTCCGATATACACAATTTCTTGCGATTGCTTCATCAAATCACTGATGATGTTGCTCACATTTAATCGTCCTCATGTCTCTCTCTGCCTTTCAGGATCACGCGATTACAGCCCACGTTCAGGTGATTGTTCAATTTCATTTCCACTTTGTATCACACATATTCATTTGACGAGTGCTATCACAACTGTGGTGATTATTTTCACACTACTGTATTTGTGAGAGTCGCGTCCACTCACTTGATCATGACATCAGTGGCGACAGTAAGAATGATGACATAATCGGTATGGTTGAGAGAGATCGGATGCAATCCACAGTGAATGAAGTGTTTGTTTTAGTTGTCTTTAGATTGACTCATTGTATTCTACTCCACTCCACTCCACTCCACTTTCAGATTACCCGAGAAGACGTAAATACAGACCAGAAGGAAGACGTGAGTAGATTTCATTAGACAATTATTCATGTCACTGTTTAATCCGTGCATACACTGATCATTCAGCTGCTTCACAATCAGTCGCCAGCATCCATCGAACACCTACTGACATTCACTCTCTTTTACATTGTGTTTCAAAGAGACATCAATCTGTTCCATATGGAAGTATGTTTGTGATTTCCTCTATCAACTGATTGCTGTTCACTTTGTTGTGGTGAACTGTATGATGCAGATGGATGGATGGATGGATGGATGGATGGATGGATGGATGGATGGATGGTTTTGTGGTGTTCCGTAGTATTTGTCGGTCAAATTGTATCTCGCACAATATGCGTTAGTCAATCGAGCTGTGTGTGTGTGTGCGTGCGTGTGCGTGTGCGTGTGCGTGTCTGTTGGAAGACTCGATCGCACTACTTGGATAATGTGGATTTCCTGCTCAATGCATATATGTGCATCGACATTTGAACTAATGAACAGCAATTATGAGATTCCAGTGGAATCCGACTAATTATGGAGTGGTCATGTATAAATGATGAATGGAATGGAGGAACCCTTCCATTCCGAACATTTGAATGCCTCGATCTCGCATACGAACTCACATGGTCAATAGGTTCAATGTCGTTTCCGATATACACAATTTCTTGCGATTGCTTCATCAAATCACTGATGATGTTGCTCACATTTAATCGTCCTCATGTCTCTCTCTGCCTTTCAGGATCACGCGATTACAGCCCACGTTCAGGTGATTGTTCAATTTCATTTCCACTTTGTATCACACATATTCATTTGACGAGTGCTATCACAACTGTGGTGATTATTTTCACACTGCTGTATTTGTGAGAGTCGCGTCCACTCACTTGATCATGACATCAGTGGCGACAGTAAGAATGATGACATAATCGGTATGGTTGAGAGAGATCGGATGCAATCCACAGTGAATGAAGTGTTTGTTTTAGTTGTCTTTAGATTGACTCATTGTATTCTACTCCACTCCACTCCACTCCACTTTCAGATTACCCGAGAAGACGTAAATACAGACCAGAAGGAAGACGTGAGTAGATTTCATTAGACAATTATTCATGTCACTGTTTAATCCGTGCATACACTGATCATTCAGCTGCTTCACAATCAGTCGCCAGCATCCATCGAACACCTACTGACATTCACTCTCTTTTACATTGTGTTTCAAAGAGACATCAATCTGTTCCATATGGAAGTATGTTTGTGATTTCCTCTATCAACTGATTGCTGTTCACTTTGTTGTGGTGAACTGTATGATGCAGATGGATGAATGGATGGATGGATGGATGGATGGTTTTGTGGTGTTCCGTAGTATTTGTCGGTCAAATTGTATCTCGCACAATATGCGTTAGTCAATCGAGCTGTGTGTGTGTGTGTGCGTGTGCGTGTGCGTGTCTGTTGGAAGACTCGATCGCACTACTTGGATAATGTGGATTTCCTGCTCAATGCATATATGTGCATCGACATTTGAACTAATGAACAGCAATTATGAGATTCCAGTGGAATCCGACTAATTATGGAGTGGTCATGTATAAATGATGAATGGAATGGAGGAACCCTTCCATTCCGAACATTTGAATGCCTCGATCTCGCATACGAACTCACATGGTCAATAGGTTCAATGTCGTTTCCGATATACACAATTTCTTGCGATTGCTTCATCAAATCACTGATGATGTTGCTCACATTTAATCGTCCTCATGTCTCTCTCTGCCTTTCAGGATCACGCGATTACAGCCCACGTTCAGGTGATTGTTCAATTTCATTTCCACTTTGTATCACACATATTCATTTGACGAGTGCTATCACAACTGTGGTGATTATTTTCACACTACTGTATTTGTGAGAGTCGCGTCCACTCACTTGATCATGACATCAGTGGCGACAGTAAGAATGATGACATAATCGGTATGGTTGAGAGAGATCGGATGCAATCCACAGTGAATGAAGTGTTTGTTTTAGTTGTCTTTAGATTGACTCATTGTATTCTACTCCACTCCACTCCACTTTCAGATTACCCGAGAAGACGTAAATACAGACCAGAAGGAAGACGTGAGTAGATTTCATTAGACAATTATTCATGTCACTGTTTAATCCGTGCATACACTGATCATTCAGCTGCTTCACAATCAGTCGCCAGCATCCATCGAACACCTACTGACATTCACTCTCTTTTACATTGTGTTTCAAAGAGACATCAATCTGTTCCATATGGAAGTATGTTTGTGATTTCCTCTATCAACTGATTGCTGTTCACTTTGTTGTGGTGAACTGTATGATGCAGATGGATGGATGGATGGATGGATGGATGGATGGATGGATGGATGGATGGATGGACGGATTTGTGGTGTTCCGTAGTATTTGTCGGTCAAATTGTATCTCGCACAATATGCGTTAGTCAATCGAGCTGTGTGTGTGTGTGCGTGCGTGTGCGTGTGCGTGTGCGTGTCTGTTGGAAGACTCGATCGCACTACTTGGATAATGTGGATTTCCTGCTCAATGCATATATGTGCATCGACATTTGAACTAATGAACAGCAATTATGAGATTCCAGTGGAATCCGACTAATTATGGAGTGGTCATGTATAAATGATGAATGGAATGGAGGAACCCTTCCATTCCGAACATTTGAATGCCTCGATCTCGCATACGAACTCACATGGTCAATAGGTTCAATGTCGTTTCCGATATACACAATTTCTTGCGATTGCTTCATCAAATCACTGATGATGTTGCTCACATTTAATCGTCCTCATGTCTCTCTCTGCCTTTCAGGATCACGCGATTACAGCCCACGTTCAGGTGATTGTTCGATTTCATTTCCACTTTGTATCACACATATTCATTTGACGAGTGCTATCACAACTGTGGTGATTATTTTCACACTACTGTATTTGTGAGAGTCGCGTCCACTCACTTGATCATGACATCAGTGGCGACAGTAAGAATGATGACATAATCGGTATGGTTGAGAGAGATCGGATGCAATCCACAGTGAATGAAGTGTTTGTTTTAGTTGTCTTTAGATTGACTCATTGTATTCTACTCCACTCCACTCCACTCCACTTTCAGATTACCCGAGAAGACGTAAATACAGACCAGAAGGAAGACGTGAGTAGATTTCATTAGACAATTATTCATGTCACTGTTTAATCCGTGCATACACTGATCATTCAGCTGCTTCACAATCAGTCGCCAGCATCCATCGAACACCTACTGACATTCACTCTCTTTTACATTGTGTTTCAAAGAGACATCAATCTGTTCCATATGGAAGTATGTTTGTGATTTCCTCTATCAACTGATTGCTGTTCACTTTGTTGTGGTGAACTGTATGATGCAGATGGATGGATGGATGGATGGATGGATGGATGGATGGATGGACGGATTTGTGGTGTTCCGTAGTATTTGTCGGTCAAATTGTATCTCGCACAATATGCGTTAGTCAATCGAGCTGTGTGTGTGTGTGCGTGCGTGTGCGTGTGCGTGTGCGTGTCTGTTGGAAGACTCGATCGCACTACTTGGATAATGTGGATTTCCTGCTCAATGCATATATGTGCATCGACATTTGAACTAATGAACAGCAATTATGAGATTCCAGTGGAATCCGACTAATTATGGAGTGGTCATGTATAAATGATGAATGGAATGGAGGAACCCTTCCATTCCGAACATTTGAATGCCTCGATCTCGCATACGAACTCACATGGTCAATAGGTTCAATGTCGTTTCCGATATACACAATTTCTTGCGATTGCTTCATCAAATCACTGATGATGTTGCTCACATTTAATCGTCCTCATGTCTCTCTCTGCCTTTCAGGATCACGCGATTACAGCCCACGTTCAGGTGATTGTTCAATTTCATTTCCACTTTGTATCACACATATTCATTTGACGAGTGCTATCACAACTGTGGTGATTATTTTCACACTACTGTATTTGTGAGAGTCGCGTCCACTCACTTGATCATGACATCAGTGGCGACAGTAAGAATGATGACATAATCGGTATGGTTGAGAGAGATCGGATGCAATCCACAGTGAATGAAGTGTTTGTTTTAGTTGTCTTTAGATTGACTCATTGTATTCTACTCCACTCCACTCCACTTTCAGATTACCCGAGAAGACGTAAATACAGACCAGAAGGAAGACGTGAGTAGATTTCATTAGACAATTATTCATGTCACTGTTTAATCCGTGCATACACTGATCATTCAGCTGCTTCACAATCAGTCGCCAGCATCCATCGAACACCTACTGACATTCACTCTCTTTTACATTGTGTTTCAAAGAGACATCAATCTGTTCCATATGGAAGTATGTTTGTGATTTCCTCTATCAACTGATTGCTGTTCACTTTGTTGTGGTGAACTGTATGATGCAGATGGATGAATGGATGGATGGATGGATGGATTTGTGGTGTTCCGTAGTATTTGTCGGTCAAATTGTATCTCGCACAATATGCGTTAGTCAATCGAGCTGTGTGTGTGTGTGCGTGCGTGTGCGTGTGCGTGTGCGTGTCTGTTGGAAGACTCGATCGCACTACTTGGATAATGTGGATTTCCTGCTCAATGCATATATGTGCATCGACATTTGAACTAATGAACAGCAATTATGAGATTCCAGTGGAATCCGACTAATTATGGAGTGGTCATGTATAAATGATGAATGGAATGGAGGAACCCTTCCATTCCGAACATTTGAATGCCTCGATCTCGCATACGAACTCACATGGTCAATAGGTTCAGTGTCGTTTCCGATATACACAATTTCTTGCGATTGCTTCATCAAATCACTGATGATGTTGCTCACATTTAATCGTCCTCATGTCTCTCTCTGCCTTTCAGGATCACGCGATTACAGCCCACGTTCAGGTGATTGTTCAATTTCATTTCCACTTTGTATCACACATATTCATTTGACGAGTGCTATCACAACTGTGGTGATTATTTTCACACTACTGTATTTGTGAGAGTCGCGTCCACTCACTTGATCATGACATCAGTGGCGACAGTAAGAATGATGACATAATCGGTATGGTTGAGAGAGATCGGATGCAATCCACAGTGAATGAAGTGTTTGTTTTAGTTGTCTTTAGATTGACTCATTGTATTCTACTCCACTCCACTCCACTTTCAGATTACCCGAGAAGACGTAAATACAGACCAGAAGGAAGACGTGAGTGGATTTCTTTTTTTTTCTTTTCATCATTTTTAATACTCCTGTTATTCTCGTCCCCTTGTTAGTGGTATTCCATGTTTTTGAGCTCGCTATGCATCTTTTTTCTTATCAATCCTCACGGTATTATCGTTTAGGTAATCTCTCTTTTTATTTTTCTGCATATTTTATTATTGTGCTTATGATTGGTATAAGCTTCCACTAGAATCAGAATTTGGATTCGAAGAATTTAGGTTTATGTGGACGAATCATATTAACAACCTTAAAATCAAGCTGTGTAGCCGTATAATTATGTCAGTCGATACGGGTGTTCAAGTACAAATCTCCCAAGTGCTTTCCTTCCACCCTTGTAGAACCAAACTGAGACATGTTCCCGTATGCGAGTTGGGCGTAGCCAGCGCTCGCTCGTCATATCATCATATTTATTTTTGCACGTCTATTTTCTTTGGTAAACTTTAGTTATTGTAACAGAATCATTTTAGTCATTTTAATTATCTTGTTATATTCACAAAATGTATTGTCATTTTTCGTATTACCTAATCAAGTTTAATAATCTTTCTATTACATCATCTTGGTTATTTGTGTTCACATTTCATTACGGAATTAGTACCTTAATAAACAATCTACACATATATGATTGGACAGCTTGATAATAAATCCATTAAAATGAGATCTGTTCACTGAACTTCATGTTTTTAATTTTTGTAGTTCAGTTTACCCACGTTAAGTCTTTTTTCTTACTGATATTCTACATTCGCGTTTGTGGCCCTTAATGAACCGCGATTGTTGACAGTGTTATTGATTAAGATATTCAAGTAATTCACAATGTTTAAGTTTACTTTCACAGATCATGTATTAATGTGCCGTTTTTACATCCCGAATATAGCCTATCGACCAGTATTATCAGTTTTATGGAATTTTGAGTGCATTTTACTATTTTGTAAACCACTATCATAATGGTAGTGTGAAATATTGGTCACAGTTCCAGTAAATACTTCTGCTTAGTTAAACATCATGAGAGTTCTTCTTGCTTTATCATAAACTACGTATTACTTTGCTAACCATTCAATAAAAGATATTCATTCAAATAGTTGTTAACATTTTTTTAGATCTGGTGAGTCCTTCACTTTTTAGTAGGTCCATTACACACCTTTTTATTTATCTCCAGGCACTTCTGCAATCCTCCAAATATGGTGTATAAATGTTAATTATTATGCACAATAACACTTGTGACCTGCCACTTAAAGTTCTATCACCAAATATTATTTGTGTTCAACATTTTACCTCTTATTTTTACATCAATCTCTGACACACCATAAAAGGTCACAGTCTAACACAAACCAGAGAACCACAACGAACAAAAAGGCACCAAACAACGGTTTGCTTCACGCTTGTAATTTATCACCACTGCTTTTGAATAAAATGTTTGTTACTCTTTCAGAATTGACTAGATTTGCAATAAAGTAGAGATTTCGTTGATCACAGGGGTCTTTAAAATAACTCACTCTCAGTATCTGAGTTCGTTGAACAGGGCTTCATATTTCTAATTTAGGATGAAACCAAGTTTTATTTGGTAGAACCGCTGTTTAAAGCTATTTTATTGGTAACTTACAGGTTAATACAAAAGGAACAAATCCACCGATACACCAAACACTGAACAAGGTTAGTTATGTCAAAACAAGATTAGTTAATTTTATTTAGTATATATGATGAATAGTTTGCAAGGATTTTAATCACCGTTTGTGTCTGTTAACAAAACGAAAACAAGATAATTCCTACCAATATTGACTACTTGAAGTGTCTGTCATGGGCTTGTCATGAAACTTTGGCAGACGAATGAGGTTTGGCTGCAGTTTCCTTATGAACTTTGATTGTTTTGTCATCCACGATCCGAACTGTGCAAATTGCAAATACGTATCACTTGACCGCTACACAACCTTACGAATATCATACTCACTTGCATTGTCATGAAGTGTGCTTGCAACGCTAAAGCCACCTGTTTTTATGTGTTCCACAAAGTGAAAATTTGGCCAAAATTCACTTATAAATTCATTGTTATTCCAAATATCATTAACACTGATTACATTTAGAATCTGTATAATATTAAAAGAGATCCTCAAATGTTATAAAATTATTTGAACTGTGATTGCGTGATTTATATTTCTTTTCAATAAGGCCACACAAAATTTATATTGTATCATCAATTTCTAGATATACCTTCAAATATTCCCTTATGAAAAAGCCTATGAGAGACAGAAAACGGTAAGCATTTTATAAGATGTTTTTTCTACAAACTGGTTGATTGTTAATAGTTTCACGTAACGTGCTGATTTACCTCTATCAACAACCACAGTGGGATTAGAAATTAGTCACCATCATCTAAGAGTATTTTAATTACTAAAAAACATCTTATACTTAATTCTCAGTCGTGTCATTCAGCTCCAGATATACCGAGAATTTACAACACGATGCACATTACAACTGATGAAAACTTTTAGAAACAAACAAATTAGATTAGTTGTTATGACAGATTTTGATTTCCCAGTGAGTAACGAACACAACATGACTGGTTTTGCTGATTTGTGGCTGTTCAGTGTTATTAGCATTGTTAAAGTAAATAGAGTAACTCAATTAATCAACCACATTCTATTTTTCTCCCAATGGAAAATAGAAATTTTGTATAATCATTAACATAATTTACAACTGTCCAAATTTTCCATTTCACTAAGTCTTAACTTGGTTTACACACTTATAAAACAGATCGGATATCAGTTTATCAAAGCTCTTGTAGTGTTTCTTTCACCATGAAATTGTTGGAAACCGTTCTTTTGTCTAAAAGCATCAAAACGTTTACATGAGTAAGGTCTCCAATATCTTTCCACATATTATTCATAAAAATACACCGTCTTGAATATTTGACGTACACTTGCCGAATAAATAGTATTTTAGACTGTACCACATAGAGTATGAAAAGCTTATCTGTCTATCAAATATTTTGTGCAAAATGGCCATAATACTTTACTACATGCTAACTATTTCAACGTTTATAAGCAATCCATAAACTAGATTAATAGAAAAACAAATCCTCCCCATTGATTTAAATGACTATGGGCAGAAGCTGATGAGAAATTATTAAAGGGAATATTCTTATCCACATACTTTTAACCTAATAATAGTCGACTTCTCGTCATATTGATTTTCAGTATTCCAATAGTGGTAAATCGCAGATTGTCAAACAAAATAAGTAAGTATGCAATAAACAGTTGGAGGACTTTGGGATTCACTTAAATCTCAGACTGGCATCATCTTAAATCAGCGTAAACTGGCCAGATATCTTGTTCTAGTTTTATACGCCTTGCAGATAATGCCCACGGCACAAAACACGAATGAATCTAATAGTAAGAATCATTAGAATAGTAGCTGTCACGACAACTTTCAAAGTGTTGATTTTTCAAAAATCCATGCTATATGTTGCAGGAAAGCTGTAAACAATAGTATGGATAACTTGAATTTCAGTTGTTTCTTCTTCACAGACTTCACACAAACTTCAGAATATTTCAGCGTGGTAAACCTTACTCAGTAACATATCCGACGACTATACGACACAAATTAGTTGTACTGATATTTAATTCATTTTTTTCGTAACTTTACATCTTACTCAAAGGCATATCCTCCAAAAGAAAACGTAATAAAAATTGTTGGGTTCAATCCAGTAAGTTTTTGCACAAAACTTTTCGTTGTAATTAATGCAATCAGTATATATGGTTCAGTCCTACTTTGTTAGCACGATAACGTTCTACGATTCTCGGAGTCATTCGAAGTCTGATATTTGAAAAATTACAGTTGATTTAATAATCCACTGACAACTGTTGTAAACATCTGATAGATGACAAAATAACGCGGTAGAATCAATTGAGTTTTCCTATTCTTGATATTCACTTCAGTGGAAGCGCAAAAATAGTTGTGGCTTTCTAATAAGTAAAAAATGTATTTTTAATCACATTATTTTTCGCTTTCATTTTGAAATTCGGACGCGATTGCGTACTGTGTATTTTTGTTCAAGTTTCTACAATGTTTTTTCTCTTACTTTTAGTACGAATGATATGAAGAAGAGAACGTATCTTTTCAACTTCAACTTAACTCCACAATGTGAAGAAATCAATTACATCTTAAAATTACATTTGTTGCGATATCAACTAAAACAACAGTTAATTCATAAACATTCGCACAAATAAATGATTATTGTCTCAAATGCGTGTTATATCACATACAATACCACGTAACTAGAACCAGATGATTAGTTGCTCTCAATTAGACTACGTTTTTGTACGGATCTCTAAGAATGAACACAAAAGAATACATAAAATGTTTTCAGTGCGATGAAAACTAGATTAGTCACACTGAAAAACCGGAGTTTAAAGACGTCTATTTTCGAAGAAACACTCAGCTTACACTAGCGTGTCCTAAACTATTTCCGATCACTTTCCGATGCTGGACGCGCATGTCCTTTGTTAACTAAACCCTTTAGAAGCGACAACTGGCTTTTGAGTAGACTTAATGAAATTCACTTCTTTAGAGTAAATAAATAACCGAATCAACTTAACACAAGTTTAAATAATACAAAGGAAACGATGTAGGATACCTAATCCAAAGAATTGGCCCACATTAAGTCACGAAACATCAGAAATACAACTTTTCTACTCGTTGGGATGTAACAAAAGTATACATTTATTATTAGCATTCCACACAATGCTCAATTTATTTGAAAAAGCTTTACTCTACTAGAAAGTTATCCTGTTTGAATGTCTACCACGAGACTAGTAAAACATGATCACCTCACTGATGCTCATTAGCATGAAAGCGAAAATATAAGATTTTAGGGAAGAACACATATTGAACGGACCAAATTAGAAACATGAAATAAAAACAATCAAGCAGAGCTTAATACTTGAATTAAATGTTTGGAATGTACTCGACAAATCTCTGAGCAGACGAAATACAAATCTTGTTGATCTGACTAAATTAATAGCATTCAATGTTGCGGTATCGCATGAGTTTTCTGGATTCCTCAATTTATCACGAGCCACTTACAATTTTGGAATAATAATTTACATTTCGGAAATCAGTGTGTATTTTAGTTGAACATTCATTAAAAGTCAGAAAGCAATTTTAGCAGTTTAATGGAAATACTTGACTCCTAACGATTAAGGATCGACAAAGCTACAAGGTGTGAATTTTAGATATACGTGTACAAACGTTAGAAGTAAAAATAATTCTCACAATCAATCAGAACAGAGCTGAATTCATTGCATGTCAAAAAAATATCTGTTCGACTGCCTGGTGTTGTACCAACGATATCAATTGCAAAATAATAAAAATTATTTCGAAAATGAGACAATTTTTTAATACTTGAAATATAAATTATACATTATCAAAAGTGTACAGTATGTCACTTCAATTGTAATGTGTGGGTGGGCCCAAGTTTCTTTTAAATCTTGTGATACATAATCATAAGTGGTCATTAATTACTATTATGGTCGCTCTAATCCGAGATGTTGATTCAGTTTATTCACATAATGAGGATATCAATTTGGTCTACAAAGATAGACAGGAAATATATCAGAGCACCGTTAGAGTAGCAGTGGATAATATACGTGTTCAGCAATGTATTTGTGATCGATAATCAGTTTGACATGCAATGGATGTTGAGCTGTGAATCCTGTGTGGGTTGCGTATTTTTCAAAATGTATTCTCTGGTAGGGAATGCAGAACAGACTCATCTGGTTACCAAAATTGTTTGGCCAAATATGTCTATTGAGCGTACTTACGTTGTTGGTATCTAGGAAAAGAGCCACACATTGTCCAACATCTTTCACCACAGTCCTTGCTAATTGTAGAATATTATTTCTAAGAAAATACCTGACTTCCAAAAACCCCAAGTACTACATGCCCAAACGAAATGTAGTGGTAAATAAATCCCCAAAATAAATATCTCTGTAGGTTTTCGACATTGGATGATGACCACATTAGTTTTAATGGACTCACCTAGCTGAAGGAGCTTGGTCAAACATCCGCACCAGATCATGAAGAGCATCGCCGTGCTCAACAACCCCTGTAATTGCTAGCCAGATTAGATCAGACAATCCTCGATATATTGATAGTCTGTCAAATATACCTTCGATCCTCCTCGCTTCTGTCTTTTGATTTCACTTGGTGAGTACGCTTCATATCAGAACGTGTCTCTTTTACATTATCAAAAGTGTACCGGATGTCACTTCACTTGTCATGTGTGGGTGGGCCAAGTTTCTTTTAGGTCTTGTGATCCATAATTATAAATGGTCAATAATTGCTATTATGGTCGCTCTACGCCGAGAAGGTAAAAACCCAAACGGAAGGCCAATCGTCAATTTCTGTTTCATTAAACAACAATTTTACAGTCAGTAATTATGGTTTAGCAAATTACGAGATATAATGTAGAAACGCGATTGGTAACACAAAGTAGCTGCAAAAATACTCCATGGTAACTATTTCTACAGCCTGCTGGTTGTTAGTTGTCGCGTATCCAATGGGTCCTTGGTTTGTATGGTGAACACATAGCTAAAATGAATCCTTTATGGTTAATTAATCTCGAGATTTGTGCATGGGTTGTCATTATATAAAATAATTTAACGGAGGTTAATTGCTGAATTCTTGACTCAATAGGCAAGGCTAGATGAGAGGCTACTTAACAGAGTGTTAATAAGGATTTAAAGTTGACTTAAGGTGACTGCTGTTGCTTGATTTACCACTAGTTAACTCAGGAACAATATAATGAAAAATGAAGAAGTCGACATATGAGATCATTTGTGACCATGTTTCACTACACTTAGTGACAGAACTTTTGGTGTCAGTTACGGTCACGAATGAAGCAGCTACAGGAGATGCCAATTTTGCAAATACTACCTTCAGTGAAATATTACGTAACTTAGGCGCATTCGGTCGTATCTCAGTCCAATTCCTAAAAATGTTATTCAGATTATGGTCATAATTTAAAGTATTTTTCGTCAGAAAGTTAATTTTTGAGCAGAATTCGCGGCTCTAGATGGCGCGAAGAATGTATGGCTGCATCAAAATACAAGGATCCAATGTCGCCTTAACAATCACAAGAAGCCGATTTCGACGAAATCATCAAGGGTGTAAACAGATGTTTTGTAAAATGACGTCACCGTTTCGAGCTCGTTATTATTGACTACAGTTGATAAAACGTATATGTAGAATGACAGAATCTGACAGATTCACGTACAGGACTTCCCAGCAAAGAAAATTTATTCTATTTTCAATGAATTGGTTGACCGGATTTCGCATGAACTGATGAGCAATATGAATAACTGGTTTAAAAAATCTACTCACGTCTTCTCTCTGGTCTGTTTCCACGGCCGGTCGGATGGGCTGTAATTGAAGTGGAGTAAAGTGCAACTAGTTAGGATATTGACAGTGGGGGGAAATGTAATTGTTGAATGACGCGATCTCACAGATTCGCTTAGAGGACTTCCTAGTCAAGAGTGATTCTCAGCTTCAATCATTGATGGAACGACATCTCAAATTTGTGCGAATGACGTTCACCGACTTGTTTTGCATGAGATAATGTGATGCTAATCAGAATGTGATCTGTGTGTGTGTTTAGACACATGTTTTCACTCTGGTTTACGTCACTACCTTTCATGCATTACACACAGGGTATTTCAAACAATTGAGTTGGCTAAACAAATCAACTGTGCGTGTTCGCGTATTGAGATACACGAGATTGTCGTGTGGAACACTGCTACAAATTCTCAACCCCGAAATACAAACGAGATTCAGTGCAAACTTAAACACAGAAATTTGATGGTGGAAAACACCAGTTAAATAACGCAAGAAATTCCATGCAAACATATGATGGCAGCAATCGTGATAAACCTGATCGAAATATCGAAATATGATTTATGAAAATGGTTGGTATCGAGACGATATTTCGTTTCTATTCGACGAAGGTTTATTGCTTAGCAGATATTTTAATGTTTAGTTTTTCAATTTATTGTGAATATTTGTCAATATATTTACACGTTTATATAGTAGTTTATTCAAAATCTCCACACACTTATTGAATCGAAAATTTTTTTTAGTGAATGTACACACTTGTAAATGTTGAAATCTGAGTTTCTTAAGTTCAGTTGAATCAACTCCTTGTGTGATGCTATGATAAATGAGTTCAGAATTGATTTTAAAATAGTATAAAATTATAAATCTTTTAATGAACAGTGTGCAATAATGACCTGAACGGGCTATATTTTAAGTTGAATGTTGAGATTAGTTATCAGATTTAATATAGATGGCACATTAAAAAAGAAATTATAACCCTTATTTACACGAATGAAATATTTTACAAATGCTATGACCTATATATATATATATATACCATTCTAATAATAACAGTACATAATTATATTGTAATTATTAACAATAACCTTGTTGTTTGAATGAAACAAATTTGGCTCACAAAAACACAAAACAGGTAAGGTAATATATACGATGGTCAACCTACGTTATCCTATAATTGGGATAACTATTGACGTAATTTTCACAGCGTTCAAGTCAAAAGAATAACTATTACTTTGTTCACAAAGTGACAACAAAAGGGCAGCGAATGTATCATGAGCTAATCATGAAATAAAACCTAAATCGAAGAGTGAACAGAAGATAAGGAAATTCGGAAAAAAATTAGAAACGATCTGTCAAATACGAAGCGTTAGCAAGACCCGAACGAAAGAGCTGCACATTCCTCCTTTAGTTCTACAAACCATACCGGTATTGATGTGCCGGCGAAGCCTCCGGCGATGTACAAATGTTTGATGCATTTTCACATGGGATCCTTTTTTGTCAATTACGCAGATAATCTTAAGATGTGCTTGAAGAGATGGATGTTCAGATCTACAACCATTGATACATCGCAGTCAACTACTGATATTTATCTTGAATAGTTAATAAAAACTTAACATATTCGCAAAATCCATATGAATGTTAAACCTGACTTCTGGCATTTTAGGGTTTGCTGTTATGTACATCTTCACTGCTATCTTACAAAAA